TGGGAAAGTTCCGAAGGAACGAGTACTCTTCTCTGGTTACATTTATAACAGTTCTTTGAAGATTTCTCTTTAAAGGAATAGTAATAGCTTGTTTCTTTTCTTGCACCCCCGAATATTATTTGAGCAGATAACTTGAAGAGACGTATGTTGAATTTGGTAAAATGAAGATTTTGATAAAAAATTTGGAGACTGTGTTAAATCATATGAGACATTTGAACTTGGGATTATTTGTGGCTTACTACTAGTTCGTGTCTTCATAAGTTAATTGGGAACAATAGTATTATTCTCAATAAGAGTACTCTTATATTTGATGAACCAAATTAAAAGTTTATAGACTAACATTGGTTAACTTAATGGATTGGATGGCTTCCTAATCATTTACACATAATCATTGGTGAAGTGTTTCATGACTTATTATATATCTTGTGCACGTATGTATATGCTGCATAATGCTAAATTCTTCACACACATATATATATATATATATACACGTATATGTATACATATGTAGGATTATTATTTCCCTTATTAGTCTTACGCACGCAAGTTCAAGATGATATAACAACTTTTCTAGTCTCTATCCTTATAATAAAAAAAAAAGAGAGCGAGAGATGATGATATGGAACTCCATCAGTACATATAATAAGAGAAGAGAATGTTACAATAGTGATGGGCATGCAATTTCCACGTCACAATGAAGCAGCTAATTAATTAAGGGACACGATCCCTCTCTCTCTCTCTCTCTCTCTCTCTCTCTCTCTCTCCTCCCTGTCATATCCAATAAGAATAACCTGGCTTTCTTATGAACTTATGACTCACTAATACCCCTGTTCTTGCCCTTCTAATAATTTCTTGGATTTTATTTAATTATTTTTTACCATGAATGTTATATATGATAATTAAATGAAACACCAGCAATTTAATGTGGATTCATTTTAAATAGTTCAGGTGCTTTTCCAAAGGAAAAAATAAATAAATAATAATTCTCAGAAGTAATATCATATTAAGAATGTTAAATACAGACTCTAGTCTAATCTTTTAACACGTGACATTTCTATTTTTGAAACACAGTAAGTTACTCCCTTTACACTTATCTACAAGAGTGCCATTACTCTTTTTTGTCTCTCAAATATAACGATTTTGCCATTCCTTCTTCACTCCTAAATCAATAACTTTACAAATTTCGTAAAAGCAAAAAGAAAAAGAAAAAGGGAATGAAAGCGTGAACAAGAGACTTTCTTTATATGTTAAGAAAGAAAGTCATGTTATATATGTTAAGCTCCATTTTTTACAAGAATGTTATATAATCTTGTAAAAGTCATGTTATATATGTTAAGCTCCATTTTTTTATATTTTTTTGTGATAAACAGATTCTATTCTTGGAAGATTGGTCTTTCTTATGCTCCACACGTATATATTATTTTTATTGAATTATTAATTAGTACCCGATTATGTATTGAACCTTTGTTTTCTCCTATTATAGGTAATTATGAATTCGAACGGATTCCTCCAAGAAACTACTGATGGTGTGCTTGATGACAATACCATTCATGAAGATGGAGGAGTTGTTTGGAGCCTTATAAATATGGAAGTCTCCCTTGTTGTTTTTCTAAAAAAAATATTCTCTTGTATTTAATGTGAGTAATGACACTCTTGTAAATAAGTGTAAAAGGAGTGACTTGTTATTAAGCTAGTTTGATTCAGAAAGAGAGATACCACGTGTCAAAAGACTACGCTAGAGTCAGTAACAAAGTCTGTAATAAAGTCTGTATTTAGCATGAGGAAGCCAGGAAGAATGCTAAATACAGACTCTATTACAGACTCTAGCATAACCTTTTAACACGTGGCATATCTATTTTCTTAAACAAACTAGATTAATAATAAGCCACTCCCTTTACACTTATTTACAAGAGTGTTATTACTCTATTTTGTCTCTCAAATATAACGATTTTTCCATTTCTTGTTCACTCCTAAATCAATGACTTTAAAAATACCGTAAAAAC